CAAAAGAAAGCCAAGAAAAGGCAGAAGATGTCCCTGTGGGCTTGCAGTGCTGTAAGCCAGAGCACAACGTGCTGCCGGCCGGCTGCGCATCAGCTCCGCGGGGTGCTCAGCGCCAGCGCCGAGGACAAAGCACGACGGCTCCCGCTGTAATGCTGCTCGGCAATTGCAGCGCTGCTGCAAGTCAGAGCCCAGCTCCGACCTCCGCCACGCCGGGGATCTCTGGAGCAGCGAGGCTCCGGAGCCGCAGCGGAGCTGCTCCCCGTTCCCCGCGGGAAGCCAGCAGAGTCCGGCCCCGTGTCTGCGCTTGGAACCAGTCCCAGCAGGGAAGGGAGCGTTTTCCTACAGACATCTGTCCACATAACCCCAGCGAGGCAATACAGATGGGAACAGTGATTAATGCTGGATTGTGGCATTAGCCTCTCATTGATAGCTCTCAAAATGCTCCACACCCATTATCCAGAGCTGCCCAAATGCCAAGCAAAGCAAAGCCACGCGGGCGGCGGAGCGGGGAAGCCCCGGCCCCAGCCACCTTCCCGCAGCACCCGGACTCGACATGCACCGCGGCTTGCTTTGGGCAGGGATGCCCAGCCTTCAGGCCCAGGCACCTCTTCCACCCTTAGCGTGAGGTTTCTCAGCGAGGAGCCCCCGGCTCACGGCGCCAGCCGCCCAGAGCATACCATGCCCCGCGGCTGGGCAGCGCGAGGGGACAGTCCCCGACCTGGGCAGAGCACAGCGCTTCTCTCCCCACGTCCCGCACTCCCCACCGAGGCCGGAGCCCAGCTACTTCCCTCGGTCCCCGCAGTTTGCATGTTAACCACCCTAAACCCAGCTCCGCTCTTCAGTTACCTCCAGGGCATGGTACACGGCTCGCCGATAGGAGACCAGTTTATTAAAAGTGGAAGAATTGAAATGCTGCCTAAACGCCATCAGCCCCACCAGCTTGTCTGCAGAAACCTAGAAGAGAGCGATAAATGCTTCATAACGGCTACTAACCGACATGTCTTGCTTCAGGATCTGCGCACACTTTGCAGAAAAATCATCATCTCCAACATCCCCGCGGAGCTGGGCTGGGCTGCAGCACCTCTCCGAGGAGGGCGAGAGAGGGTCTTGGGGCCTTGCCCGCTCAGCTAGCCCAAGAATTAACAGCAGAATGAGGGAGAAAACCCAGGATCCAGGCACCAGCTCCCTGTGCGAGATGTCGCGCCCTTATTAATCCTGCTGCAGACACAGATGCTAGTGGATAGAAACAGAAATGCATCCCCCACATCTGCCCGGGTCCTCGTGTCCAGAGCGTCTCACACCCTGCCCTTGTTCCATCGAAAGCCCTGCCCAGATGCAGCATCCAGCTCTCCACGACCTCAACCACCGTGGTCTGTCCCACGGTCACAGGACATGCTCAGCCACAGGCTGGAAAGACGGCTTTGGCCCAGGTTAGCCTTCCAAAGGGGGGTCTCACAGCCCACGAGGGCTCCCCGGGGCCAGCACGTGCTCCGACAGCGAAGCACGGCCGCGCGGCGAGGCAGCACTGCGCAGCCTTGCTCGCGCGCGGGCGAGTGGCTC